GCCATTGGTGTGGGCAGGCTTCATGTCAGAGAAGACGCCTTGCTGGAAATCGCGCCTTAATTTGACTTTATCGATTTTGCCAGACTGCGCTTGAATTGGGAACGAAGGCACCTGGAAATGCAGCAAAACACATTACAACTGTTACAGCGCCACAACTAGTTGACACTCGTCACATCATATCAGCAACTTGTCTGCTTACTAGTATCTCCAATCGCCCGTGGCAATAACAAGATGGTCGATAATTGTGTGCTGGTCACTACATGATTCCTAGTTCACGTCACACACAGGCTCACACATAAGCCTTCAGTTGTATGCGCATTCATACATACATTGAGCAGACCTACCTAATGGGAGCATTAAATAACGCAATTCACCAGCCGTGGGCTCTTTGTCATCTAATGGTCAAGCAGTATAGGTTCCCATGTTGGACAAAGTACGTACCTCGACGACGGTCACGGAGATGAAAGATGAGAAGTGCTTCTTCACGGCCATGTCAAGATCCAAGGCAGTGAATCCACGCACCGCAGCTGCGTCGCGCTGGAAGAAGCAGACCAGACGCGCACTGCTCCCTCCTTTCTCCAGAGCAATGGTCACGGTAGTGCTTAGCCCCGAAAGTACATCGTCCTGGTGCTTGAGTCGGCTGAACAGTTGGTCAATGTTTCCAGTACAAAACTTCACTCCATTGATCTTCACCATGTCATCCACCCGACCAGTGATGTAGAGCATGCGAGTGTTGGGGCAGATGAATCCAATGTCGCCAGTGCGGTAGATCTGAGAGAAGCGTGAATGTGTGCCGAAAGGATTTGGAAGGATTGTGCGCGTTTGCCTGTAAGAGGGAATTACAATTGAGGACAGCATATAAAATAGGGCTCTCCATGTTATGCTAACTATGAATTCTGACAATTGTGTTGTCTTTTCTGTGGTGCATCTTTTGAATAAAATGTGCATCTTCTTTCTCAAGTACCTTTTCTGGATTGATTTTAAATTTTGCAGCAATTTTTTGCATCATGCCCTTCAGATATCTTCTCGAAGTGCAGTTGGAATTTTGCTAAAAATTTACTTATTATCGTGAATTCATGATATGTGCTTAGCGTCTACTTTATGACGACTTTATTGTTGAGTTGTGAACAGTGCTTCACTGTTCTATATCAAGTCTGTGTAATCTAACAAACCAAGTCAAACTAGAAATCGTTTGCCTTCACTCGTTCGATTGGGTTTCTATAAGAGAGAGTATTTTTATGACTATTTCGAACGTGTGTGTTGGGAAATTTGAAAATTTGCTGTTTTTACCATCGCACATTAAACAATAGTTGAGGTCTTCTAACAGCAAGCTTACGACAAAGTCTCATATGAATTTCAAATCTCGCTACTGCAAACTGTATTTTTGTAAAATATATAGTGACACCGTTTCATCACTTTGGCAAATCTCGCGCTGTTTTTCCTGATTTGAGGTAGCAGATTTATGTGACTTACAAAATGTCATTGGAGGTTAATCATGTCTGCAATTATTTTAATGAAAGCAAACCTAGACAACTTGAGAGTTTTCAACTCAAATAGTTCAACAATGCAACTTCACAAGACAATAAATTCCATAGGTTGCCTAATATAAATTTAGGTTAAATTGCTGGCATATTTCTCACACTGGATTGCTCGAATTCACAATGGGCTCCTCCGTAAGAACACCCACACCTGACACCACCACTTCTCCCACAACGCCTTCTCTGGCGATCGTCATATTCTCTGTGCCATAGTCGCCGCTGACCACGTACACCTCGTTATTGTCGATTGGAGTGCCAACAGGCACTACGAGTCCACCCGTTGGCAGTTGGAAGGCAGTGCGCTCAATGGCTTCTTTGCTGTCGAACGTCACTGCCGTGATGTCGCCCGCTACTTCTGTGCTTCCGTAGAGATTCAGCAGTCGGAATGGTTTGTGCGTGAACACGTCAAATATTTGATTGGCCAGGGAAGACGGCAGGAGTTGGCCACTGGACACGACTGCCTGAAGCGAGGCGAATGACCCATCCCCCTTCCCCAATTGACTCAACCACGACTCCAGTTGCGACGGAACACTCGTGAGTTGAGCTATGTGGAATCGACGAACCAGACTGGCCAGCAGGTGCACATTGGAAACCAGGTGTTCACTTGATATGACCGAACTGCCAGACACAAC